TGGTGCAAATTACTGACCTCTGTCATCATTTTAAGTGGGGGAACTTGCACAATCGGTGGCTGACTAAATACTTTTTTGCCCCACTGTAGTTCTAATTTGTGACTCTGTAAAAAACCTAATATTAAAGTACATGTAGTATTTTAGGCATAGGAGTTGTGTCATTGTTTGACTGAGAGGACCTGGACCTTCTGTGCTTCTCCCAAGTCTTGTTATCACGGGACAAGTAATCATTTTAACTGACACACATAAAAATGTATGTTTTTTTCTTCTAAATTTTTTTTGCTTAATTCCAAAGCAGGTTTAAGTTTAGGTTTTAGGGCTAGGGTTGGGACCATCACTGATGACAATTTAGACCTCAGATGGTTAACCTCTTACCATCCACAACGTCGCTGGCAACCTGTTGGTTTTGGTTTTGTTAGAGCCACATGCTCAAGAGGCAAATTTTCATAAACTACATGTTAGCTGTCATAAATTTTTGCATTGAAGTTTTCATATTAAATTGGAATGCTTCAGTCAGGGCAAAATTTTATAAAAAAGCCATGGACAGCATAAAAAATAGTAGATGGTAAAGGAAATAAGTACCATAACAGGATATTAGTTAAATGGACTGGTTCTTAAATAGCGCTTTTCTACTTTGTCTGAGCACTCAAAGCGCTTTATACAACTAATTCATTCACCCAATCACACAAACACTTCTTCTAAGCTCTTAAGTGCTAAGTAGCTTACATTTATACACATTCACACTCGGATGGATACAGCGGAGAGCAACATGGGGCGACCGTGGCTCAGGGGGTTGGGAAGCGCATCTGTAACCGGAAGGTTGCCGGCTCGATCCCCGGGCTCTCTGTCCTGGTTGTTGTGTCCTTGGGCAAGACACTTTACCCTACCGCCTACTGGTGTTCGCCAGAGGGGCCGATGGCGCAATATGGCTTCTGTCAGTCTGCCCCAGGTCAGCTGTGGCTACAACTGTAGCTTGCCCCCACCAGTGTGTGAATGTGAGAGTGAATGAATAGTGGCATTGTAAAGCGCTTTGGGTGCCTTGAAAAGAGCTATATAAATCCCGCTCCGCCACCTGAGCTACAGCCTTAATGTGGGTGGTTCTTGTAAAATTAAGTTACTTCATACTCCATCTTTCAGTGGACAGTACTGACAAAACCGCCTAATGTGTGACACTGACATTGTGGATCCCAGTCTTAAGAATTCAGATAGTGTTTGGTTTTTGCTTTAAACACTTACTGCAGTATAATGAATGCAGCATCATTCAGGGGTTGACAATCTGTCCTGATGCATAAATTTCTATACCAGAACATTTTTCAAAACATTTTTAGTCTTTCGCCTAATAGCTGCCTTCTCTTTTCCCCTCAGCTCTTATGTACAGTTGTGGTCGATATCTCAGCTCGGGTTTTGACAACATCCAGCACAGATGACCAGCCCATTCTTTCACAACGGCACTATCAGTACACCGACCAAGACACGGGCACCCAGCTGGTCTGTGATAAGTGCCCGGCTGGCACCTATGTCTCCATCCACTGCTCTCCAACATCTGTGAGGGAATGCAGCCCCTGTCCTAAAGGCACCTTCACACGGGGAGAGAATGGAGTTCAGCAATGCCATCGTTGCAGGAGTCCTTGCCCAGCTGGCTTTATTGAGAAAATGCCTTGCACAGCCACCCAGGATCGAATCTGCACATGCCCACCCAATACATTCCTGTCAGGGGATGGTGGTGCTGTGTGTAAGCCCCACTCTTTGTGCCCCCCAGGCAAGAGGGTGAAAAAGCAGGGCAGTGAGAAAAAGGACGTGGTCTGTAAGCAGTGCTCTGAGGGAACTTTTTCAGATGTGAAATCAAGTGCAACACAGTGCAGAAATCACACAGACTGCCAGGTTCAGGGGCTGGTGCTGCTCTCACCAGGGACTAGAGAGAAAGATAATATCTGTGGACCCCTTTCTACAGCTCCATCCTCTGCCTCCACAACCACTTTAGGTGGCTCAGGACAGGCTGTGCTTGTACAGGAACCCATTATTTCTTCAATCTTTCCAGCACCCCTGGCTGGACCTGCACAAAAAGGTGAGGGATGGGAATTCTGTTTAATAATCTTCTATTTGAATTTATATAGTTTTCAGCTTTAACTGTTTTTTTTTTTTAATGTTTCTTTACATTTATAAAAGTTGACCTAATAAAAGTTGCATTTTTCAAACATTTTCCATGTGAAAGATATGTTATGGGTTTCCTGCGAAATTTCAAAGGTGGCATTTATTGTCTCCTCCATTATTGCCTTGCCTAAAGGCCTCTTTTATGCTTGCTTACATTATCAACAGCAAACAATATTAGCTACCAATAGCTAAAAAAGTGCTAATCATAATAATAATAATCCTGTTAATAAAACAATAACAATAAACAGCTGGCTTGCAAGGTTCCACACACTAAATGTGACACAGTAAGCAAGGCAGAATTAGGCAGCAAGCAGCTACATTGAAAGGCTAGCAAGTTATTTGAGTTAGAAGGTAAGCTAACATTAACCGTCAGTCAGAATAAAAAGTCTCTTTTTGGGGGGGAAATTATTATAATAATAATAAAATAATAATAATAATAATTGCTATTAAAGTTAGAATTAGAGTTAGAATATTTGTACAGTACCTTAAAAAGCACACAAAGTGGTTTACAGGAGTTTCAATTCATTGAGGTACCTTCATTTGGGTTTCTTCTGGCTTAGGTAAGGTACTACTCGTTTCCTTACTAATGTAGTGGGAGCATGTAGGGTGCACATATAAATTAAAGCATAAAGTAAAAGTGCTTATTCTTCTTTATGAATTATTGCTTAGAAATTCCCAAAGGGAAGGACATCTGTAGGCATGGAAAAAAACTAGCTTTAGTTCCCTTTCCCAGTAATGGTACTGTTTGTGAAGATTAGGACTTATGGGAATTTCTCTCTTTTTTCCTCAGCAGACTTAGAAAGCAAGTAGAGTAACTGCAAGTAGAAAGCAAGAAATCTGCTCCCTTCTTTTTTTGTTTCTCCTCTATGTACAAGACCAGTTCTCAATATGTCTTAAACTGCTTCTACATCAGCTGTGATTCATTCAGTACGTCAGTCATTTCTCAGAACCAACCATCCAAAGTCAGTATACTCCTCCCCTGGGTCAGCCCTACCACATCTATAATACTGTCACTGCTGTTTGTGTTGGCATGGGATCGATGGCTTCACAGTCAGTTAATCTGACCTGATCTGTGCTCAGTAGTGGGGCCGTTACATACTTGCGGTTGTTCATTTTCACCTGTCTCTTATTGTCAGTAGAAGTAAAAGGCATTCTGGGAAGAAAAGGATTGGCAACTGAATTGTAGTGGGTGTGTGTACTAAAACGTCATAGCACAGTGCTAACAGAAGTGATAAAGTACTACATCAACTAGCTATATGAGGTGTATAACAAGTTAGTGTAAAGGGTTTAATCTCCTAGCAACCAAATATATTGAAGCAACTCTTAAATCCATATATGGAGACATGAAAAGGTTATAGAGGTCTTGGAAAACAATGATCTAATACTTACAGAGGCAGATAGTGATATGATTCAGGATGTAGGATCTACATAAAAGATTTAAAATTGAATCTGTTGCTCACTGCCAAATGTCTATTTCTCATTTAGAAATTATTTGCTGATCAAACATTATAAACCCCATAAATAGTTATTTTGAGCCCGAATGAACATTTGGGCTCAAAAAAACTATTGATTGACAGCTACCTAACATCATCTAAATGCTCTTTTTCATCTTCATGAATATTCAGATTGTAATAACAATTTCAAAAAGGTGTACACGGCCCACTCAGTGATGAAGTAAGTCAACAAAGCGTGTTGACACTGCTGTAACTCGGCTCATAACCGTAGCACGGAGCAGTGTGCTCACGTGATCGAGCGGCTGTGTGTATTTGTAGCCTCAAACCAGCATTTCATCTCTGATGAAGTTATCCCAGAGAGAAGTAAAGCAAGTGTGTAAGTTCATCTCTGAATGTTTGTAAAGCATTCCCACATTAAGCTTAACAACCGATATATGGAGCGACTGCCTCTTCTTGCTGCTACTTCAATCGTGAAACTGATTAATGATCAGCTGATCGGCTTTTCTGTCCGTCTCTCTTGTTTGTTTGTGGCCCACTTTGCACCAGAAAGAGGAAACCAGCGGCTGAACAACAGCAGCACGTTTAACCTTGATAAGCTGTTGTTAGAATTTATTTAATATTACTTTCTACACCAGGATCCTTTTCTACGCAGCTGACGGCTGGTAACTGTGCAGGGGCGGATCTAGCAAAGTTTAGCCAGGGGGGCCGATAGGCCATGAACAGGGAAAGGGGGGCACAAAGACATGCTTTTCTTTCTTATTCTCATTTAAAATGTCTAGCTTTTAATAAATAATTATCTGAATCTTACACCCAAAGTTTTAATCTTATGTAAAATATATAGAAGTCCATTACTGTATATAGTAACCATTAAGTCTAATATACTATAGTAAGCTATACTACTTTTTCCTTTGGGAAGGTACCATCTGTGCAGTCTTCAATTCTGTTGAAGAAAGATGTTGAATCTATTTAATTATTCTTGAAAAATAATTGATTTTTGTGCATTTTTTTCCCCACACTGCATCAAATTAAAGTTGATTACGTTGATTAAGCATCATAAGGTGGAGGGTGGGGGGTGGTTCCCTATTTTTTTTTTGCTGGGAGTTTGCAACCCTATTAGTTAGGTTGCTTAATATTTCTGCTAAGTACTCTGTAAAATACCAGAATAGGAAGGATAGAGTAGGTTTAAGTTTATTAGATTGATCAGTATTGCTGAACTATGAAATATTTTGGGTGCAATGTATTTTTTGCATACAGGTATAACAGAATAGCTTTAGTGTTGTTGTTTATTTAAACTTGAGTATGAACTTATACAAAATGCAGCAATATATTAAAAAAACAGTTTTATTGATTAAAAAAACACACTATATCGGATTCATATCTGTATCGGCCGATATCCACATTTATGATATCGTATCGTATCGGACATAAAAAAGTGGTATCGTGCCATCTCTAATATGTATATAGATTTTGACATCTGTCAGTCATTTACACTGGTTTGCAATTTCTGCAGAGTATTAGTATTAGTATGCTCAACAATGACTATAATGGCCATTGCCTGGAAAATAAAGGAGATTTTGACCCCTGTGAACATCATCTAAACACTCTTTTCGTTTTCATGAATACTCAGATTGTAATAACAGTTTCAAAAAGGTGTACACGGCCCACTCAGTGATGAAGTAAGTCAACAAAGCATGTTTGTACCAGATTGCTTCGATGGATTAAGGTGTAAGGATCCCCCTCTCGTGATACCGTCTGGTTTTTTTTTTTTGTCTTAGTTAGACAGAACTCCCAAGTGACTGAGTTTAATTCCCTCTTTCTCTGTGTCACTGTTGTCTCTCATCTGCTACTTCTATACTATCTACTATCTTTGCTTTCCTTGTTATTTCTTATCTCTCTTCTTGCTTGTTCTGTGTCTCCATCAACCTCTCTGCCTCTCAACACAGGTACCCACAGCCAGTCAGCAGCCATTCAGCTGAAGGAACCCCAGGGTGGAAAAAGCCAGCGAGCAGAAGAGCACCTCCGAAGCCATCCCGGCACTCTCACCCCACCAAATTTGACTCCAGTTCTCCCAGCTCATGAGGAACCAATGGACCATGAGTTGCAGAGGGGGCAACTGAATTCTGAACCAAACCCAGGGCCTAACAAGAGGGCAATGGGAGATCTGGGGACTGAAGAAATAGCCAAGTTTGAAACAAGCATAAGAAAGATTAATGGACAAGATAGCGCAGGTGGGGCCTCCAGCTCCTACAGGCCAATTCGCAGGGGATTCCCAAGACCAAGCGCCCATAATCACTTTGACATAAACGAGCACCTGCCCTGGATGATTGTACTGCTGCTGTTGCTGGTGCTGGTGGTGATCGTAGTGTGTAGTGTGAAGCAGAGCTCTCAGGTGTTGAAGAAGGGCCCAATGCAGGACCCGAGCAGCATCATGGAGAAGGCAATTCAAAAGAAACCACCTGCACCACTAACTCAAGCCCGAGAGAAGTGGATCTACTATTCCAATGGACAAGGTAAACCTACTGGATCTTTTGGTGTTGGAAACTGCTTTTCAACTGAGGTAGAAACACAGTTAGATCTTCAGAAGAGTCTCTAAGACTTTGAAATTGGTGCTGAAGTTGTGGAACATAAAAATCTATCTCTATCATGTCTCTTAGTTCAAGGGGTTAGGGTTAGGAGTTAGGGTAATTCAGTTAAAATTCAGCGACATGGATAAATAAAGGGAGAATTAATCATTTGATGTGAATTTGGGGCTTCAAAGTTAATCTACTCCTAACCTTTAATCAAGTGACTGAAGAAACTACTAACATGACAAAGGGTCTTACCATGGCCATTGTGTTTTTTGTAAACTCAGCATTGTTTCTACTAAATGCTCTACATCTGCAGCTCACAGGAGGCTGCAGACTCTTAGTTACTCAGTGCATATCTCAGGCTAACGTTATAGCGTGTGGGAGTTCTGCTTGTGAACTGCGTAGATCCATCTGTTGATTGGACCTCTATTGGTATCTGGCCAAATCAGTTTTGACCCACAGCACATGGTGTGCAGGACAGTGGTTACACAAGCGAGGATATGACCCTGTTGTACAATCCTGCTGTCACAAACCACCCCAACGGTGCTCAGGTCGCCTTGCTGCTCTTAGTTCTCCAGTTTCATCTCAGTGCATCTTCCTTCCCTTTTTCTCTTTTTTAGTTTTATCTTCTTATTGTATTTTTCTTTGTCTGTCTTTTCCTTTTTGTTACAAATTTCCTGATGTTTCTTCAATTTTTATTAACTCTTGTGTGCTATCATCCCTGTTGTAAACCTGCCTTTCTGTTTGCTTTTAATCATATCTCTACCTTCTAATTTCCTTTCTGTTCTTTGTTTACTTGTTTTTTCTTTTTTCTTTCTGTTTCCTGTCAATTCTCAGCCCCGTACCGATTCCACCCTCCCCTCCACAGTTTCTTATTGCCACTCTCTGTAGCTACAGATTAAGATGTAGGGTTGAATGTTTTCTACAAGTAGAAAACATTCAACCCTACGGCACAGATCTTGATTTCACACTGACTCAGGACAAGAGACCCAGACTCAGGGAACATATCCTGACAGAGACACTCAAGTGTCAAGTAGAAATCTGTGTATGTGTGTATGCAACCTTGTCTGTGTGTGTGTTCTTTGGTCAAGCTGAGACATCCGCTACCCTCTCTCTGCTCCCTCATTGACTGACCACAGAGAACTGGAATAATCTGGTTTCAGCTGCATCAGAGTTGTTGTTTGGTTGGCAAGGAACATTAGTGGGTCAATCTGATCTCTTACAGAGTGACAAAGAGATATATGGAGAAAAGGAAATGAAGAGGGAACGTGAGATAGTGCTGGAGTTGTGTGTGTGTTGTTTGGAGGGGCTAGGGTTTTACACAGGAAGTGTTATACTGTTGCTGGCTAACCACATTGGGCTTTCCCTGCTGTTACCTAGCAGCCCTGATACTTAAGATGCCTGTTATAGAAAGGAAAGGTAGGCAGTTAGAGAAACACAAGTACATTTTATGAAGCTATCAATTGTCATTCAACTTTACAACTCCCAGCTTTACCAACATGGTAAATGTGATGGTCTTGAGTTGAGTCAAAGCATTTTTGCCTTATACAGTTACTTCTTTTTAATACTCTTGATTTTTTAAAATATAAAAATAGGTCTTTCTTTTAGAAGTTCATACATTGAACAAATGACTAATAGCAACAGTAGACTTATTAGATATATGAGCTAACTTTACAATTGTAGCATTTGTATGAAAAAATAAATCCTCTGTGCTTATTTATAGTGGGTGGACCTAAAATAACCATAACGGCAACCGCCTGGCGAAGTTGGAAACAAAATATTTAAATAAGGGCCAAAGTTTCAAAGATTGATGTAATCTCACAGCAAATCAAGATTCAGTATGCTTCAAAAAACGTTTTCTATAGTTCATTATGAGTGCAGGAAGCCCCACCCAGCTGCTAACCTTGCTTTTTGGGTTTAAGCGGGAGGAGTGAAAAAGCCACCTGAGTGGCTGGGAGTCCCAGTTTGATATAAATAAGGATTATTATGGGTACTATGGATCATGCAGGTCTACTTTAATGTAAAAGAAGTTAAATTATGAGCTCCTGTTTTGGAGCTTGTTTTGTCTCTGTTGGATGTGCAAATAAGCAGTTAATTGCTGAAGTTTGTCATGTTAAGTTTATATGGTAATAATAGTTTTGTGTTTACAGCTTGTCCTGATTCTGCCAAGTGACAAAAGAAAATGAAGAAACAAAAAAAAACCCAGTTAATTGTGCCTCATGTTGTTTTGTTTTATTTCAAATGGGTCTAAGATCAGATTATGTTTAACAGGAAATGATCTGGACTGTGTTACCGCCATGTTTCTCATTCCTGGATCTTGGAACCAAAAACCCTAGTGGTGCTTAAACCGAACAAAACAAACATTGCCTTGACATGGCAATGTGAGTACATGTTAGTGTTCTTAAAAGAATGCTGACAGATAAACAGCACCTGCTAGAATAGATTGGTGTCATAATCTACAACAACAGGTGTCCCTGAGGATACAGTTCCTAAATGCACGACTATGGGCAAATCATTTGAAAAAAAAAAAAACTACTTGATGAAACTCATTAAACACATTAAAGTAAAGTCTGGGTTTCAAATGAACCTGTTTAAATGATTCTGTGTTTTTGTGCATTATGTTTGTGTTCTCCTGATTAGATGAGTAATCCACTGCCCATGTGTATGCATTTAGGTGAAGATATATGTGTACACATGCAACCCCCAAATAGCCACTTTTCTCTGCTTTTTACTCTCTGGAACCTTACAACAAAACAGCTTCTTAATACTTCCAAGGTGTGTGGCTGGCTTTGCTTCAAGGTTGTAACGCCCCTTTACTGGGGCCGTTAAAGCATTTGTGCAATAAAGGGAAAAAGAAAGGGAAACGTCAAAGCACAGATCACACACATACAGTGTTTGGCATTTGGTCAGGGCTGGCAAGGAAGTAGTGAAATGTGCTACTTCTCCACAGCAGGGGTTGAATGGGGCTCTCCAGGGCTGCAGCCTAGGTTTGTGTTATTGGGATCTGAGAAATATACTTATTTTCTGAAACAAAGGCCAGCAATTAAAATGAAATGAAGGTCAGTGAATATGCTGTGTTATTCCAACATCAAGTCACCTAGAAGTGTCTGAAATGACCTTTCAGATTGTGGTTTGAATTTACATAGTGATTAGCCAAGTGTGCAGAAGTCAAAAAGAAGGCTTATGGTCTAACTTCTAGTACACATTCTACGCAGCAGTGTTTGTGAACACCTAAGAATATGAATGCCTGTAAGGCATAGCCCAAAGATTCATTCATTCATTGTATTAATTATTCCATTAAGACACAAATGACAGACTGAGATCAAGGAACTAAGGTCCAACCAAGAAGATACATTTTGATTAACAGTTTCATGGATTTTATGCTTGATTCCTCTCTATTTGAAATGATCTGGAAAAGAGAGGTACATAAAGACTTGGCATTTTGGTTCAGTCACAGAGTCCTAGAGATCAGTCAGTGATCCACTGGGAACCACTGATTACCAGCTTCCAATAGCTGCTCTTAGTTGCTGTGAAGTTTCTAAAACCCAGTTCATGCAGGCCTAGAGATCAGTTGGCAACTATCTGGTAACAACTGGTTAGGAAAAATGCTGATTCTGCAACTGGTTGGTGAGTGGTTGCTGGCAGTCTATAGCATGGCATTCAGAGTTGCAATGAAAAGCAGGTTGCTGCAGTGAATAGTAGTTTGCATGGAAAACACAAATTTGTCTGCAAATACTTGCAAACTACTTGCCAAGTTGTAGTGAAAGAGTGAGAAATGTGAAAAACTAGAAATGTTAACCTCCCAAGTAAAAGCTTTGCTGTTTCACTACCTCTTGGTAGAAAATTTCACTGGGCGACAGCCTGCGGCCTCCTACCAACACTCGCCAATAGGGCTGGGGGATATATCGAGTTTTTAAATGGGACGATCATGGCTCAAGAGTTGGCAGTTCGTCTTGTAATCAGATGGTTGCCGGTTTGAGCCCCGGCTCCGACAGTCTTGGTCGTTGTGTCTTTGGGCAAGACACTTCACCCGTTTCCTATTGGTGGTGGTTAGAGGGTCCGGTGGCGCCAGTGTCTGGCAGCCTCGCCTCCAGCCAACACTCGCCAATAGGGCTGGGGGATATATCAAGTTTTTAAATGGGGCGATCGTGGCTCAAGAGTTGGCAGTTCGTCTTGAAATCGGAAGGTTGCCAGTGAGCCTCTGTCAGTGCGCCCCAGCGCAGCTGTGTCTACAATGTAGCTTGCCATCACCAGTGTGTGAATGTGTGGATGACTGAATGTGTAAAGCGCTTTGGGGTCCTTAGGGACGAGTAAAGCGCTATACAAATACAGGCCCTTTGCCATTTAAATATATATCGATATATTTTTATATGAGATGTGACAATATTGTTTATATCGATATAGTCTATGTTGCATTATGATTATACTTGTGGAGCCGCAAGTTTGCCTCTCTTTCGTCCACTTTTGTCTCTAAGCAACGCTACTCTGCCTCGCCTCTCTTCTTCACTGAACACAACTACCCCTCCCCCATCGCTTCACCTGCAGGCAACAACAAGATGGACACTGCAACTATCAAAGAGGAGCTGGTCGGTAAAAAGAAAACATTTGAAAATTAGTAATTTAGAGATCCACGTTAGCGCGGTTAGGTCGTTAATGCGTTCACAAAGTCCAGCCCCACGCTGTAACTCGTTAACTGCGTTATGGCCTTAATGTCATTTTAACAAGATTAACGCTGGCAGCACTAATTATTATTAGTATTATTTGGAGTGTCAGATGAGCAGCAGTGTATTCTGTAGAGAATGTTGAGAAAGCGTCCCGACTAAAGGTTGGAGCACTCTCTTTCATCGTATTTTCACTATTTACAACAGCGCCATGAAGTGCAAAATGAAGAGTGTGTGAAACTGCATCCTGTATCCCGGACCGCGAAGTCTCACAGCCTCCTG